CCCCCCCCCCCCGTATATTTATACTAAGGATAAGGCTGTTCATTTAATTGAATTGTTTGCACTGTAGTTAAAGACAGAAAAATAAACAGAGGAAGAACACATACTGTCTTACTTTGCCAGAGCCTGGCTGATCCACCAGATTTTCACTCTCTAAGACAGATTTTGCTGTATTTGTGCTTTTTTCATCTCCCCCTGAGGAGTATTAACTCAAAGCAATCACAAGACACCCATCTCTGCCTGCTGCTTCCTGAGCTGCTAGTTATATCTTCTTCCTGCCTTACTGCTTCTCTACCCATTTTAATCTTTTTTTAACCTAGAGGCTGCCTTCTGCTCCTAAAATGATAACCATTTCATCTGGAAGAGTCTAAACATGTAAAAGCATTTTCATTTCTGTTGAGTTTACTTTCATTTACTCTCTCCTTTCTATTGAAATCAAGCAGCATAGAGTACTGTATAGAGAGCAAAGCCTGCATTCCATCCAGTTTGAAGTGTTCTTAAAATACAGTACTGAAAAAGGAAGAGACACACTTCAAGGAAATGCCGAGCTGCTCATGACACCAAAGACGATGCACATTTATGGACTTGGTTTTCTGAGCCATTTCCAGAAACCTGAATGGATTACAATGCGATTTTAACAAGGCTGCTGGCATCCATCGACAGCTTTCACCTACAGGGGCAGTTAAGAGATGGAAGAATGTAATTATTTTCATGTAAGCTAAATTCCAGTTGCTGATTGCCATGAGAGGGAATGCCCTGAAAACTCTGATGGTTTAAACTTCTTAATCACCTGCCATCAAACAGGTAAATCTTACAATCTCTTTTTTTTTTTTGTAAAATTGTGGGGCAGAAGTGGTGGGAAGGTGTGTATGATACAGAGGCAAATAGTTTATTAATTGACTGTTAAATATGCAGCACTACTTTACATGCTATCTTTTGTTGATCAGGATACAAGTCCACTACCTGTAGGTTGTAAAATCTCTTTTGATATATTTTTACTGTCCACATTCAAAGCTATGAAAGAAAACCTTACCATACAAAGCTGCTACCGACTTGAAGATTTTTTTTCAATTATTACAATACTACTTATTCTTTAAGTAGCCTTACCTGATAAGGAACTGGTGCCTAAGTCACTCTCCTTCCTCACCTATCTAGATTGGACATAATTAGGTATTTACCACCCAATTTGTTCTTCTTATTACAACAACATTAATACATTTGATAGAGCTAATTATTGGGGTAGAGGCATCTTTCTCTTAAGCCTTTCTTCAGATGCCTTTGATTAGCTTTTCTGAGTAAACATGTTTCTCTGAACTGAAATTTCTTGTCGCTTTACAATTCAGAGAAGTTTTACATCTTGTATCTTGGCAGAATTACAGTGGCAAGCAGGAGGTTGCTAGCCCTCAAGTAGATTGGAACCAAAAATTCCTTTTTTTACTTTATCCTCAAACGATGAGTTTTTCTCTTAAAATATTATCATTAATATTGTTCTAACACTGAGCCAAACCATTGAAAGAAGAAAAAATATGGCTATTATCTTTTGTTAAAACTCTTATTATAAATCAAGTGTGGCAAGGTCTCTCTCTGTTAATATGGCTTCTTTGTCATCTGAGAACATTTGTTATCTTTTAAAAGAATGATTATTATTACTTCCTTGTTTCACAGGAATGATTAATGGACAAGACAATGCCGGGTTGCAATATTAATATTTTTCGGGTTTTTTTAAAGGCAGTAAGTATGCTTGTTTACAGAAAATAATTAATTTAAACTGTGTTTTCCAATTTGGCTATGATTACTGCAACCAAGCATACTGACAGGGAACAATTAGAAATAAACATCTATGAATAGTTAGATGTGTAATTAACAGAGGGCAGGGCTATAATCACTTTCTCCTCCATATAATAATTTAGCAGAAGAGCATGAGAAACACCTCTCATAGCAGATCAGTTAAGGAAAGAAACTGAGACTTTAGAATAGAAAGGATTTAAGATGCACATGCATCTTAATTAAACAGTGGGACACTAAAGAAATTGGACTAAACAGGAAAGGAGATGATACTGAGAAAATTCAATTCTGTGTGAGAGTTAGGGTTTTTAAAGTTTTCTGACCTTTTCGAACAGAAAGGAAATCTTTAAGTGTCATGGGAGTACTTGTTTTGTTTTCCTTGTTGCCTCTGAAGGATCACTGTACATGCCTGTGCATTATTCATTTGTAAATTTTTACAAATATTTATCAGTGGACTGACTATTTGCATGCTCTCAAAAGAGACTGGCAAAGAACTATAAGTAAAATAATTTTTTTGCAGTAAGGTCCCTTCCAACCCTATGATTCTGTGGCTAAGTCGTCATCTCTGGAGAAACTTAAAGACAGGACAGTTTCTTTTGAACGCCTTTCAGGAAAAGTAAGCTTAAAGTTGCCTCCACTGTTGGCATGAAACAAATCTGCAGATATTAACCGATTTGCTTGATGAGCCTTGTATGTATAAAAAAAGAAATAACAGTGCTATGTTTTTAAAGTCTTAACTTGATGAAAAAAATAATTTTGGAAATGTTAATAGCAACCATGAGAATAGACCATCAAAAACAGGGTAACATGGAATTGTTCAACCTACTTTATTCTCTAGAATAATTTCCTGTTTGTGTGCACACTCTTGCATTCAAAGTAGTTAATAATCTTTTGGACTACTCTGAATGACATTTGCAGGACTGAATATTGTGTTTAAAGTATCAACAGGACTTGCATTGGAGTCTAGTTTATCTATGAAAACTTCTATTTTACATGTGAGCTATGTGAAAAAAAACTTTCTTTTATGTCTCCTAAAACTTGGGTGTTTATCCCAGAGGAGGAAATCTCCAACTCCCTTCCCACCCCCAGACACACACCCCTTTTTTAAAACTATTATTCGTAAATAAAGCTGTTAATTATCAGTAACACCATTTAACACATATTAGAGTTGTTAACAGAATTGTAACAGGAGTAATTTAGGCTATGCCTGTTCAATTCTTCTTCAGCATACTACAGTGTTTTTGCCCAATGGATATGCTGCCAGTTCAAAAAATGTGCATATTTATTCTTCAGCAATAACTGTTGCTTTGCTTAACTTACTTGAGAGCTGTTCTTTACCTAGTGTGAACATGCTTCTCTATTAAAGGATTTCAGGCAGATGATCACCCTTGGGATTCAGTCAATTCATGCATTACATGTCCTGTCTTATTACACGGCTGTACAGCAAGATTACTGCTTTTCTGATGAGCTTCAGATACAAAAAGAGAGTGTGCAAATACATCACTGACTCTCTTAGGCCACTCAGAAAATGGTACCCAAATCTCCCAGGATGTTTTAACATACAATTTCCATCATGTTATTTAAGTAATTTTATATGCATTAGCCTGATATTCATTTGGTGTAATAAGCCTACTACACTGGTATGGAAAAGAATATGGCCAATTATAAAACCAGGGCTCAATCCTGATACCATAGAAATCAGTTGAAGCTTTGCCATTGATTGTGCTGGGAGTAGAATCAAAACCCTCAATATGATGCATAATGTTGATTCAGTATTGATAAGGAAAGGGGAAAAAAATCTTTTTTATTCTATAAAAATTGCATTTTAGCACAAGCCGTCATGTTTTTAATTTACTGGAATTGGCCTGTGTCTGTATTTCATTTATACACAGGAGGTGAGTTTGAAGCAAGGAACTTCTCAGAGAAATAATGTTTAGTATATGCATTGCTGTATGAAAATCTGGAGTAACTTCATGGAAACAATGGGATATGAAGGATTTAAGTGCATGTTATCAGAGCAGAATGTATCCTAATAGTTAAAGTTACACTGGCATAAATCAGGAGCAAGTCTGCTGAAGTCAGTGAAGATACACGTGTTAAATCAGCGCAAGTGAGATTAGAATCAGATCCATTAAAACTTTAGATGAAAGCAAGCCCATCAGATAAATAATTTAAATCTGGAGCCTTATTTTTCATTATCCAAGGTGCTTTTTGAATTCCACTATAGTAACACTTATTTTAAACAAACAAAATCCTGGATCTAATAGTAGGCAGGGAATATCAATTCTTAATTGTTTGCATATTACGGGCCTGATTTTCTTCTGATTTTTATCAGTTTAACCCTGGTTTAGCTCCACTGATTTCAGTGGCATTACATCTGAGTTGCTCTTCTATAAATAAGAGAAGAGTCTAAGCTGTTACCTTACTGAATATAGAAACAGATAATATTATTACAATAATAATTTGCGAAATTATTTTCCCTGTTATTTGCGTTGTAAGAATCCTTCAGAGCTTTCTGAGAAATTTATTGGTGGGATTTTTCTGAACATATGTACAAAACAAAGAACATTAATTTTTAGACTGAAGTGAAAAATATACCACAGATAGGATTATACAAATATATTTCCACAATGTGTATTGGAGATTTTTAAAAAAGCAAATATCTTTGTAGTTTTGATGTAGCCAAATTTTTTGACTAGTTGCTGAATGTGATTTGGAAATGTGGTCATTAAACCTGAAGTTCCTGTGCATGTCTTATGCAGTATTTAAACTAAAAAGCCAAGAAATCAATTAGGCTGTTTTACTGCAATTGACTGAATAGTAATTGAGATGCAAGGTACCAGAAGGGCAAAACTAGAAACAAATCTAGAAACTTCTTATGATTCATAGATTGCTTATATTCACATTCTCTTAGTTAAAATTCAATATGTATTTAAATTATGCATATAATCTAACAAAAAATTATTTCCAGAATCCTTCCACACCTTAGCAAATATGCTAGAATACTCTACCTTCTAACACATGATGCTGTCTTTAAAAAGGCAATTCAGAGAGAGAGAAATAGCAGCTATTTGGGAAGACTAAAATTTACAGGTAGAGAAGTGATGATCCCTTTAAGGTACTGAAATGTGGCAACGTTTGGAATAAGGGTTGATTTCTGGTAGTCAAGATTTCCTCAAGGAATTGCTGCTAAACTCAAGCAAAATCTGGCGGGGGGTTGGATGGAATTAGTGCTGCTTATTTTTTTTTTCCTGTCATGGGATTCAAAGCAGACATAGGTAGTGTTCATGTGCTGCTTTGGAGAAAGCTGTAGGAAGATCACACACCTCGCTGTCTGGGCATCCAACTAGTAGCGAGTACTGTTGGGAGTACTGACACAGTTAGAAGTGATGGTACGTGTGGTATCTTCACACACCCACTTTGATGCCATAACAACCCTCTAGGTGCACTGCTTTCAGCTTCTTTTTCTGCCCTTGTAATTACTCACTTCTTGTTTTTCTTTAAATAATATTCCACCCCCCTTATGGGGTTTCATTTATTCAGTCTCCTAAAGCACATCAAACTTCCTTCACTCCTCAAGTTCAGTCTGTGTTCCCCTTGATTGAGGGATGCCGCAGCTTTCCCACTTGGTCAGTGTGACATTGGGTAGATCTCCCCTCCTTTGGTGTTTCCCCATGAGTGGGAAGATGTGTTTCCCTGGGGGCAAATAGCATGGCATATATTTGTGCTACTGCTAGCTGTCTGTGGGCATGCCCTTGCACACACACTCTGGTGCATGGCAAATTGCCCTGTGTGAGGCAGGGGAGGTTGCAGTGGTGGCAATCGAGGTGCACAGAGCCTGGCCAGCAGCTGGAGAGTGGCTCTGGCCAGCCAGGCTCCAGTTTTGGGCAGCACACCCTGCAGCCACATGCTCTGCCCTGCTTTTTTTGCTGCAGTTTTTTTTTTATACCAGGAACTCCTGGTGTCAAAAAATTCCCACTTTATTGCAAATTAGCAACGCAGCAAATGCACGCACATGC